GGTCAGCATGGTCACGAGGAGGCACAGGCAGCACAGGACAGGGAAATTCCTCCATGCCAGAACATGTGCTGAGCTGTGCCTCCATGTGGAGCACAGGTCAGTATGGGACCCAGTACAAGTCCCAGAGGGGAGGCACAGGATGCCAGGAATTCCCTGGGTCCTGCACCACTTCACACTTTTTTGCCAGGACCTGCACTGACCCATTTCACACAGAGGCACAGGTCAGTGCAGGTCCTAGCAAGGAAGCACAGGGCAGCAAGGGATGGATCAGCAAGGGATGGATCAGGGCCCTACCCAACCCGTCAGGTGACATGATTTCACTCTCTAAAGCTGATCAGCTGTGGTGGGACATATCCCATCACGGATGATCTGCTTCATTTGGTGATATCTGTTTTTACTCTGACTGAATCACAGACTCACACTCTTCCTTCTGCACCCACAAATCTACCTGTCTGGGGTGCCCAGAGGGCCAGCTTCAAGATGAGAGCTGAAGTGGGGACGGGGGGGATCAAGGCAATGCCTAGTGTGGCCTGGTGGTTAGAGCACCTTGATGAGTAAAAGAAGATGCAGATCCTTTCCGAATATATGTGGGGGCCTATAACTTGGGTTGTATACTTCCTGGGCAAGTGCCCTAACCACAGGCTAAAAGAGTGGCCTTTTCCTGTTTTCTGCAATGAAAATTTTGGGCCTTGTACCCATAGCTGGGCAATCCTATTTTGCCACACAGCTGTTCAGCCAGAGTTCAGCCTTACTGAACATATCTAGTGGGCTCGCATACAGAGAGCTGAATCATTATACACAAGTGCCTAAAATTTCCTCTGTGGAGCATAAAGAGAATTGGATTTGGTCTATAGGTGCTTTCTGATAGTTGTTTTTGTGAGGATTTTAAGTGCATTCTCTCCTCTCTTCTCATGGTTGGTGCTAAGAGCTTGTCAGGACCCCAGTTAGTGTTCTTCTCCCTTTACATTTTAGCCTCAGAGATCACATGTTCATCATTAGGTAAAGTTGCATTAATAAGAGCAGCCCTCAAGTGTCAGCAGTGACACTTAAGTAGCTGCTTATTTATGATCTTTACTGCTGAACTGTTTACTGTGCCAGGATGTCACTCACTGTTTGGGCTTCACATTGGCATGCACGTACCTCTTGGTAGAGGCAGATTCAGAGGCAGTGCAGTGACATAGATACACCCCATCTCCTCAGTGTAGCTCAGCAGCTCCAGTTCCCTTTAGCCTGGATGGCTGGATCCCCTGCAGAGTCTGGAGCAGCAGCTCAGGAGCAGCAGCGGAGGACTTTTTTTTTTTTTTAAGTGTCTGAAGCAGGTCAAAATTCCTGTTCCCTACCCCCAACCTTCTCCCTTTTCCTCTGTGTTCAGCGATACCTCACCTCCTCTCTTATTTTCCTCCCTCTCCCTCCCTAGTTATGCCCCTGGGCACAGGAAGAGGAGACCTGCTGCTGCTGTCCTCAGCTGATACGGGGGGCAGGGGTGCTCTGCTTTGGCCAGGGCTGAAGGGAGTGACTATGTGGGGAGCTGGGCTCAGCCAGGGGCTCCAACAGCAGTGGCGGCAGGCAGGTTCCTCCTCTCTGCCTCTTCCCCTGCATGTTCTCTGCCAGCCTGGAAGCAGGCACAGGGAGAGGGACTCACCTGCCACCACTGCTGCTGTCCTTGGCCAAGACAGACTCCCTGTGAAGCTCTTCCCAGCAGCCCCAGTTGGAGCAGGGCAGAAGCAGCCCAGACAGCAGTAGCAGCAGTGGGCAGGTTTCCCCTTACTATGTCCAGAGGGATAAGTAGAGAGGGCAAGGAGGGGGAATGGGAGGGAAGGGGAGGTGCCACTGAGCAGGGAGGAGAAGGGAGGGAGCATTGCAAAGGGCAAGAGGAAGATTCTTACCCAATTTGGGGACTTAAAACAAGTCCCTGGCTGCTGCTCCCACAGCATGTTCTGCCTGCCCTAGTGAGTGGGGAAGCCTGGGAGTTGGGGTGCAGCCACTCGTAAAGTGCTTGTCAGGTCCCACACTCTCCTTTTTCAAAATCCTGGATTTGTCTGTGCCTAATGGCAAGTGAAAGCAGAATGGCCCATTTACATTCAACAATAAACTAGCACAGTTTATTTTTGACATACCATGAGTAGAGACCTACCAAATTCATGATTTTGTGAATTGCCCGTGAAATCTGGCAAAGCCCACAAAATCCACGGGGGAAAAAAAACTTAGAAAAGAAAATGCTGGCTTTTCAGAGGGAGCCAGCAGTCCTCAGTGTGCTGCAGCAGCCCAGTGGGGCAGGGAAGAGGGGGCTGCCCACTAAAAGGGCTGCAAGCAAGATGGCTGCTGCTCCTCCCCCTTGCCATCGAGTGGTTGCAAGGGCTACCTGTCATGCGGCCCCACCCCTTTCGAACAATTGGCAGTGAGGGGCAGGGTTGTACGATGGACAGCCAATCAGCAGCAAGGGGTAAGGGCATATGGCAGGCAGTCCCTGCAGCCAATCAGTAATGAGAGGTCAGGCCACTGGGGCCCCTTGGCCAATCAGAGACATGCGGGGGGCTGCAGTGCTCCACCCACAAAATAGCAGTCTGGGCCCGCATTCTGCTCGTGAAAGTGAGGGGCAGCCCCCTTGAATTAGGTACGTCTCTAACCATAAGCCAAGAGAGTACACAAAGAGAGTCACTATGCATAATGTGACACATGGTAAGACCTCCCCTCACACACACATTTTTTAACTCACTGTTGCTATTTGTCCATACTCCAGGTACCCAGGCCCTTTGAGGAGCTGCTTAATATGTCTGAAAGAGCCAGCCAAGTATAAGTATTCACATTTACCAAATTCAGGGCAATAATTTCTTTTTCAAAAGTATAACATATGGTTTTCATACCTATGTTTATGACACTAAAAATAGTTGTAGTTTGTGGATGGAGTGAGTGAAATCCAGACTCTTATTTCAGAGAAAGGTGCTGCTGGGCACATCAGAACGACTTATGTTCTGAGGTTGTGGCTTAATTGTTGTTTTCCCTAAGGTTATATTATTTTACAGGCTGAAAAAAAATGAATTAGCCAACAGGCATTGCTAAAACATTTTATATCATAATTTATCCCTTCCCTTGCCCCAAGTGACGGAAGGACAAAAATTAGTTAGAATTGGCAGCCATGACAACCATGCCACAAAACCTGAAGGACTATGCCATAGGAGTTCCAGCTATTAACCCTCACTGGTGACACCAGGCCTCTGCTTAGCATTGCGTTTGGTCAGCCTTGCTCACACTGAACAGCTCATGATGGATGGGATCCTGCATGGCTGGGTAATAACTAGGGAGCTGTAGCCTTCAAGCTCTGGCCAACAATCTACCCCAACACTGGCAACTCACCCAATTAGTTTGCAAATTGTAAGGCCTAGAACCTCACCAGAACCAGTCTCTCAATGAAATAAGCTCTAGTCTGCTTATGATAGCCAGACCTTCCCCTCATCTCTGTTTGGCTGCTTTCTCCACCCCCTGGGCAAGAAAAGCTGTTGAAGGAACCAAAACCCAGCACTTATCCCTCGTCTGAGGAACCATAGAATTGATTGGGTTTACGAAAGGGAGCACCGAGTGGGCAAATGGAGACCTGGGAGCTGAGGGCAGATGCCTCCACTTCCCCCACCCCTTTGTGAAAACAGAGCTAGCTCCTCTTCTCTCTTGGTCTGAAGCACCTGGCCTGGAAAGAAGAGATGACCCCCACCTTAGCCTGGGAATGGAGGGTTGGGGCGAAAGACCCTTTGGAATTGCCCCTCCTTCCACTCTTTCAAGGCCTCCTATATAGAGGAAGCAGAAAGCCCACACCCCATCTCCTTTTCCCTATGAAGACCAAGAGTGGGGTGGCAGTGAAGAAACCTTGGGTCTGGTCTCCTTCAAGTCCTGAAGCAAAGATGAAGAGCCTCCATAGGTACAAGAGGAGCAGAGATGTGCACAGGAGCTAAAGGCAGGACTGAGGGTTGGGAAGTTATAAGGCTGGGGAGCTCAAAAAGAAGCAGCACACATGAGTGCTGGGAGACTCTAGAGGACCAGAGCAGCAGGTGGTACCTCATGTAGGTTTTTGCAATTGGATCTCAGATATGTGCTCCTGGAAAGTTCCTACATTTAGTGCTATAATGTGCCTTACTAATGAGGATTGGAAACTCTGCATCCAGTACACACACTGTGAACAACCAAAAGATCTTTCACGTTATTATTTTTAAATCATTTGTTGCCCAGTCTTAAAATCTTTTAATTTCTGGGCCAGTCAGTGCTGGACTCCCTTACATCATAAAGCTCCCTATCCACCTACCTGCCCATGCCTTAACTCTGAATATGCTGTATGGGGAACCCAGCAGGGCAGGCAGTGGGCTAAACTACCAGACCCTTCCAGGGAGCACAACTCCACCTCCAACTTCTTCCTGTCTCTCCCTCCAAGATGAACCAGGTCCAAGTATGTGGGAGATGTGAGGGGGCCTGGGGAAGGTCAGAGGCATAGGGAGGGACTTTGCAGAAGGAAGCTGAGGAGAAACAAGTTGGGAAAGAGCTCACATAAGGTCAGGCTTATGGAAAGTGAAAATGGGAATGCAGAAGTAGGGGGACTCTTAACAGGTAAGGTCAGGGGTAACTTGGGGAAATGCACGGTTGAGGGGGAGAGGTAAGAGTACTTGCTAGAGAGAGTGGGGGCAAAAAGGTAGGCTTGCGGGGTGGAGAAAATCTTCAAAGATGCTCAGAGCTCTAGTGCTAATGGAAAATAGAAGGGAATCCAAGTTGCTCAAGAGTAAATAGTTTGGAGCACCAGAAATATGAGCCATTCATTGCAGATCTTTGCTGCCAAATTTACCAACCGAATGAAGGTACTGGCATCAGGCCTGGTGCTTCCAGGGGTTACAAATATTGGATCCTTTGCTTACTAGGACTCTGAGTGTAATCATAACAACATATAATAAATAGTAATAAAGGCCAACTTGAGTGAAATACAGGCAGTTCCATTTCTCAAATAGATTTTATTGTGTTCCCAGGGGCATTCTTGATCCCATACTTCATAGCTCTTATCTTTGAAGGAATTCCACTATTGCATCTTGAGCTTGCCATAGGACAGTACCTGAGAAGAGGCAGTGTTGGTATCTGGAGTACCATCTCACCCTACCTTGGAGGTGTTGGTATGTTTCTCCACTTGTTATCTCACTGTTATGTGGCTAGCCACAACAATGGCCAAGCTCAATATGGCCTAGAGTATTGGGGGCCAACTGTTTTGGCAGGTGTGCTACAAATTGGCTCTACACCCTTCAGGTGCCACTCCATACCTTTCCTCTGCTTGAACTGCTGCTACTCCCTGTCCTGTGTTCCATATCTGACCTGCTGCTCTGCTTTCTGTTCCCTGCCCTATCTGCCGCTGTGTTACCTGTCCCTTCCCCAGTCTGCCATGTGCCACACACAGAGGCTGCCCATCCCACAGGGTGGCCACCCTGGCTCTTCCAGAGACTAAAATGTTGAGGCTCCAGCCTCTTTTCCAGATGCTTCTTACCCATTTGCAAGGACATAGAAATCTCTGTTATGGTTGATTTAATAAACAACTATTCTCTAACTACATGAAATAAAAAGCAGGGTGATGGGAGATTTCAGGCTTATTAGGGACATCCTATGGCATATGCCCAAGAGACCACTGCTTGCCTCTTCCAGGGCTGAAACAGCTGGAACAAGAATAAATCATTCCATGCCCCCAAAGTAGTAAAATGACATGAATAGAGCAAACAATTAAAAAAAAAAGCCCCAAAGCTTGTTACTACTTGTTTTCCAAGCTTTGGTCATCAAGAACATAAGTGAAACTAACAAGCAACACTCAGTGTTAATATTCACTCTGCCCGTGGGGAATGAGAACTTTTGCCCCAGGGTCTCCTCTGCCTGCCTTCTCTTTTCCTCAGGGATGTGAGAGATGGGACATGGGTTCTCCTTGGAAATAGCAATTCACACCTTCCTGTCTGGGAGTAGAGCAGGAAGTGTCAGCAGCTGAACTAGCCACACGACAGCACAACCCTGAAGGATGATGAGGTCTGCATCGTCTTTTCATGGTTGTGCCCTCATGCTTCCACAACCTATTTCCTGGGCAGCAAAGCCAAATGACACCTCTGTGGAGCCACAGTTAGCTGCTTTTGTTGCTCTACTTCCCTTCTGAATCCAGAGTCCTCCTTCTCTTCTCCTGCACTCTTGCTTCCTGTTACATAGCTGCAAATTGCTCTGTGAAACAAATCTCATGCCCTAGTACCAGAACATGCTTGTATATCTGCTTAACATCATGTAGAATGTGGACAGATGTAGGTTATGCATGTACAAGAGGTCCAAGTACAGGTGTTATGGGTGTCTCTTTCTATGCTGGTATAAGCCCGGCAGTGGTGTAGCTCACTTGTACCACTCCAGGAGCAGACAGACATAACAGTTAAATCAGAACAGAAAATGCATGCTCCTAAGCAGTACATTTCCCTCCCGTTTTAAAATGACCTAAACTTACATTTGACCACAGACAGTAGAAATCACGAAGTGGTGGGTGCTGTTTCTGCATCTGCATCTCTTAAAGGGAAAAGACATGCTGAAACCTGGCATTGCCACCTGGTGCTGTAGGTAATTGAACTAGAGACCTGAGATTTGTGCTTTTCCTCTCCTGCAGGCACTTGAGCATACCAACCTCCCCAGAACAGCTGGGCTATGGTTTCTTAGCATTATTGCATGGGAGTGATCTCCATTCCCATCTCCACAGAGGCAAAGAGAACCCATCCTGTTTCCCTGCTACCAATAAAGTACAGGAAAGCTCTACTGTCACCAGTCACTTAAGCTTCATTTTCCTCTAGCTCAGAATCTGCCATTTCCATATCTCTCTCTTCCTTCCATCCTAATTATTGAAATAACTGTTATATATTTATAATCCACCTTACCACAGTGTAAAATTAACTCTCCCCTTCACTCTCTGAGAATGGCAAGGACAAAAGCATTGCAGTGCTCCTAGAATTCAAAATTAGAACTTTTGCTCCCTGAGTTTGAAGCTTCAGTCAAAGAAACTTCATCTGGGAGTGAAAATGCAGTGTGCTGGGGAATAACAGTCTTCCCAAAGTCATGGAGGAAAAAATACCATTACCACTGCATAGACAGTTCTTAGACCACAATGACTTCCTTTCTCTCAGTGCACTGGAAGATAGACTTCACCAGTAGAAATAGACCAGGTGACTGCATTTCCTGAACAGGGCACTCAAAACAGTGAAGAGTGTCATAAAGCAAGTGTCAGCCCACCAGCAAAGCATGTGCAAGTTTCCCAATGTCCAAATGATTTTAATAGTCCTTCACTACATGAAAACTTGTTAGGGTAAAGCAAAAGCGAATGTTAAGGATTTTTTTTCACTGATTTATTTCACCTGAAATTTTGTGTCTTCTCTAGGAGTTGCTTCCATGGCAGTGTCATTCATAGTGGGTTTATATTACAATACCATTTTGTGCTGGGTGCTGTGGTATTTCTTTAACTCCTTCCAAGACCCTCTTCCATGGAGTACATGTCCTCTCAATGAGAACAGAACGGGTAAGTAATATTTCATGACTTATCTATGTAGGTACTGGGAGATAGCCAGGCTTACTCTCTCTGCTATTTGTTATTCCTATAACATGTCAGTAGATCTAATATAAAGGCTCATGATGAATTCCTCTCTGTATTTTAGGGCTTGATGGTAACCTAGTCCTACCTGGTCATGGAGGGTGTAAAGCCCTTCTATCACACCACCTCTTTGCAGCCAAACTATACTCCTTGCATTGTAGCCTGGGAAGGGTGTGAAAAACAAGTCTGTGCATTAACCCCCCTGTCTTCAGCCGATGGGTGGATGGAGAGTTAAGTGTTGGTCCACTAGGGGTGCATATCCAGCTTTTTCACCATCAAAATGATTTCACAGTATGAGTAAGAAGAGTATAAACTAAGTGTGACTCTTACGACAGTGTTATTCAGCAATTAGTTTCACCTGAGGCTGGGCTAAATCCTATATTAGTTTACACATCTATGTGTCACATACAGAGTTGCAGTCTTTGATCTTAATGCACAATTTGGGATTCTGTTTTCTGCCTGTATCAAAACAGAATCGCCTGAGCAAAAACCCACTGAAAATAAACCAGAGGACGAGAAGAGAACTCCTGCCCTTATAACTCAACAGCTTAATAGTTTGCCAGGAAACAAGGGACCTGGGGTCTTTACCCCCTCACCCAGAACGTGTTAGAACCCACACCTCCTACTCCACAGCAAAATACTCTAACCACTAGGCATTGCCTACACCTCTCTCTACCAACCATAGTTGTTGCTTCTTTTCTAAAATAGAGGACTTGCCTGGCCTTCCATGCATACCTAGGCAATTGTTTTTGGCCACCCAGCTGAAGCACAGCCCTACGAGCATGCTCAGTGCATTTGAATGAGCTTGTGCATATAGAGCTGAATTGCTGACTGTACATACATGCTAAACATGCCAGTTATAGGCCAGTTAGGTGCATAAAGGGAGAAAGGAATTGGCTCTTTGTTTCTTCAATGGGAATTGGATCATTGGTGTGCTGAGTTCCATCCTCCATCTTAGACCTTGTGATCTGTCAGAATAGGTTACCATATTTGGGGGACATATGGTATGCAGGAAAATAAAGCATACACCTTCTTTTGGGAAGGCAGAATGAAGGGGGGAAAATATTTTTTCCAGAGCGTAACAGGGAACACTGGCCCTGTTACTGAAAAGCGGCATAGACCCTTCAAGGGCAGGATCTTTGTAGCACAGGCAACCAGCAGAGCAGGGGTTAAGGAACAGCGCTGTAGTCAGGTCAGCTGACAGGGGAGTCACCTGACCAGAAGAGGGCTTGGCTTGAGCCATATAAGTCCAGAACCTGAGCTGGTCAGCAGTGTTGCCAGGTGTATGTTCATTATCATATTTGTATAATAATTTTAACCCTTGAACAATGTATGATAGATAATATTAAGTGTTTAAAACATACAATAATTTTTGAGGCAGTTAATCAATTCAGCATATTCAAAACCCAAGTCACTCTCACGGAATTTTAACCAACTTTCAGGTTTGCTGGCAGTGCTTTCTAATGACTACTTGCCCCAAAATAAAGAAATGCTTCAATTTTGATGACCCAGTTCTCACTCGCTCACTGAAGACTTATTATGAGCAATATAAAGAGAATAAGAAGGCTTATTTGCATGCTTGTTTGCATAGTTATTTGTATATTTTACAGTGTATGATAGTTTTTCAGAAAATATGATAATTTGAGCTTCCCAGTACAATAATTTCGTATTTAAGACCTGGCAATTCTGCTGGTCAGGCAGTCTAGCCTGGAAAGCCATGGAGTGAGGAGCTCCTAGCAGCAGAGCATCAGGGCTTCTGAACTGACAGTGGAGCTGGAAGGAATCAACTCTGCAGGTTTGAGAACAAGGAAGAGTTACCTGGGGCAGAGAGAGAGGCTTGTTTAGGCATGCAAGTGGCCTTTATTTTATTTTAAACCTGGCGATGATTTGGGTGTCTGCCCAAGGGCTAGGATGTTTTTGGTTTAAGTTGTACTGGTGGTTGCTTTGAGCCCAGACAGTGGCAGGCCTAGATCATGGGGGCCGCAGGACCCAGAGCCCAGACGGGCAGGTCTAGAACAGGGCCTTGGATAAGGGACCAGCCAGAGTAGAGGGGCGGAAGCTGGGAAGGCTGAAACCCCAACAAGGGAAGGAAGGAAGGACAGAGGGTCTGGAGACTTAAGGACAAGTGTTCCACCTGACTGGTGACTCAAAAAACCTGCAAGGCATGGCCCATGGTGTAGGGGTGGACTGGAGCCACACAATTAGCTCGTAAGGCAAGCTAGGTCAGGATAGTCCTCTGGGTTTGTCAGTCTCTGTGGGCAGTCTCCCTTTCATGAAGTTTCCATCAAGATATGATGGCTGTGAAGGCAAGGCGTGACCTTGAGAGAAAGAGCAAAGGGAGCCTAGCAGGGATGAGGGGGCATCATAACAGCCCTCAGGCACCTAACCTGTTACACAGTCAGGGCTAAGTGCTGGCTACTGGGGCAAAGTGCACTCTTCTTCAGCATCACTGCTTAGCCTGGCTGCTCACCTAAAAGCTCAGTTTTAATCCCCTTGCAGTTGGCCAAAATCCTTTTCTTGGCCAAAAGTTGCTTACAATTTGGCAGTGGCTGTGAATGGGTTAAAAAGTAGCTGTGATGCTGAAGAGTCAGAAACATCCTGAGGTTGCTTAAAATTGTCCCTGAACTAAACTTGATCTTTGTACAGGATGGTCACATAGGCAATGTGACATCACCTTCACCATTTTCTGTGCATTCTCCATATGGGGATTCAGTCTCTGGTCCTCTAGCCTTTTCCATGATGTTACATTACAAGTCTCCAGGATTGACTAATATGATGTCTTGCTTCTTAACTATTGTTCTCACAGTGTAGGGGAAATAAGGTATTATATACAATCTCACTCATGCCAGTTTAGTAGTATTTCTCATCTCTCTTTTTTAGGGCTCATAGAAGAATGCTGTGCAAGCACTCCAGTAAATTATTTTTGGTACAGGAGAACTTTAAATGTAACCACTGATATCACAGAGAGTGGCACTACACAATGGTGGCTGGTTTTGTGCTTGGCTGCTGCCTGGGCAGTTGTGTACCTTTGTACCATCCGAGGAATTGAAACCACAGGAAAGGTGAGGAACGTAAAGAGAGAGAGAGAGACTCAAAATAGTTAACTTGTTCTTGTCTCTTGTTCTCAAAATACTGAATTGTAGCTTTCGAGGAAGGCTTCCCAGTTACACAAATAATTCATGTTTCTTCAACCCCGTAATCTTAAGAGTAAACTTCCCCTTGCAGAGTTTATGAAACTCTTTTATGATAGACATTCTTTAACATACTCTACCTCCAGCAAAAATAATAGTTAGAAAATGCAGCTATATTAAATTTTTCTAGAACTAGATATTGCATAACCAGTGGGGACGCATAGTGGGTGCACAAGGGTGCACATGCACCCCCTGAGAGCACTGCTGCACCTCCTGAACAGCCGTGCTCCCTGCTTAGGCGATGGGCAGGTGGGGCAGGTGGGAGAGCCGGTGCCCCCCACGTGAGCAGTGGCTAGGGAATGGGAGCACCAGTTGTAGGTCATGGTCGCTTCTGGAAGTGCCGCAGCCACTTGTGGGAGCGCCATAGCTGCTCACTGGCCAGTAAGTTTTGCTGCAGGGGGACCCCTCCTCCCCCAGTCAGAGAGATTGGCAGCAGGGGGACCCCCCTGGTTGCTGACTGGTCACTGGGGTGGCACATGCCCCACCTGACTAAGGTAGCACCAGTTGCCCATGTGCATAACTAAGATAATATTATTATCAATATCTATCTCTCTGTTTCAATTTTCCTTTCAGGCAATTTATGTCACAGCCTTTTTTCCTTACCTTGTCCTAACTGTATTCCTTATTCGTGGACTTACTTTACCAGGAGCGGTTGATGGATTAGTTTACCTTTTCACTCCGAATGTAAGTATTATTTGTATAATCAGAAACATTATTTTTTCTTTTTCAACTTATGACTCATTACCTTTCAGCAATTCATTTTTCAGCTATTACCTATGCAATTCCTCATTTCACCTTTTTCCATTAGAAATGCTTTCAATGATCTAAATATATTTTAGCTCTTAATGAGTACTGATCATTTCACTAATGATATAATATAGGCGTAAGGAGTAAACATTCTGGAGGATTGGTAGGAACTTCAGAGTAAAGGCCACTATGGAGGGATGTGCACATTGCACATAGCCTTTCTTACCTGTGAAGAAGACAGTGTGGCCTTCCCAAAGCTATAGAATTATTGATTACAAAATTAATGTGAAACTCATCAGGAATTGGTTTAGGAATTAAAATTAAATATTGGAATGGTTTTATAATTGATGGTTATTCCTTCTTCCCCATTCATTCACTCAGTGTTCTTCCTCACTGAAAGTTTCTTCAGCTTCTGCTGAAGGATACTAACATCGACTGCAAGAAATTCTAAGCAGCCATTTTGTGAAGGTGGGATTCTCTCTCATTGCTCTCAGTGGGACTTAAAACACAGGTCATCTCATCTGGTGGCCACTTTGAGAAGGGTCTCTCCTTTTGCTTTCTATAGCACTGAATGTCTTTGCATCCTCACAGCAGAGTAGACTACCATTTTTCCTGAAAGCAATTCAGTAGCATTAAAATAATGGGAGATTATGGCCTTTTTTTTAGAAGTAGGCAATTGTTTGTGATGAACAGCCGTAAAAGTAACCATTAATCTTCAATATATAATTTGGAAGCAATTCACTGCACCAGATCTAACTGACTAGTAATCCAGGAAGGGAGGGGATATTTAAGGCATTTGCATGTATGTAACCAAAAAGCAGGAGTCATAAAACCCATAGGAAGTTCTGTACTGTCATGGCAGGCTTGTGTTTGTGGTCTCAGATTAGAGAAAAAGTTTTAAATATGTACAAAGGAACACCAGAAATTTTCCTTTGTTTTCCTTCCTCCATTCTAATTTTATGGCAGCATTACAATTGTTTGGGTGCTCAATTACATTTGTCTACCTTAATGCATCGGATGTCTTTTATGGGGAAGCTTGACCGTGAATTTCCTGTGTTTCTAAAGCTGGGTTTTGTAGTTCTAAATGAATATTATGTACATTTCATCTCATAGTAATAGCCTTTTCTTCCATCTTTAATGATATGTAAAGGTAATGCCACCCTATCCTGACATACCAAAAAACCTTGTATCAAGCCATGTAGGGCTGGATTCCATTCCATTTACTGGGCATCTAAGGGACATAGGTGTCTAAGTGCAATTCTGTTCTACACTATTAAAGTCCTTGAAAGTCCATTAACACATCTACTTTAATAATATGCCATCAACTGATCCTCCAGGTTGAATCACAAAAAAATCATGAGAAGGAGGAGTCCCCCCCACAACATGTTTTGCATTAACTGTTTTTCAGGAATTCAAGTTGGATGCAACAGAATTGCACTTAGGTACCTAAGTGCCTAACAGATGTGCCTAATAGATAAAACAGAATCTGATCCCTATTGATTTCGCCCTCACCATTGCTGAAGTATTTCCACTGACTTTGGAAAGCTTTAGATCACAATATTAACATTACAAAATAGTTTCAAGTTTAAGGATGTCAGCAGATGAGGTTGGTATGGCAGGGCACTGTTGGTGCCTGCCACTTTAAGAGCCTGAAGCTAGCAGCTGGCAGGTGCCTTATGAGGGCAGCCATTTTGGATCCAGGGCTGCCCATATAAAGAGGGCAATTTACTGCTGGAAGGCCAGGCAACAACATCGCCTGACTGCAAGGCTGCTGGTATCATCCTGGAGGTAAGGGCAGGAGCTGTAGGGGATGGTTAGGAGGCTCCTGGTCCTGGGCATGACCTAAAACTGCACCCTTCTGGGGGCGGGTGGCCTGATGGGGCTCAGTGGTGCAGGAGCCCCAGGAAATGCCAGGCTAGTGAACAATTTGGTGAACGGTGAGTAGGGGTGCCTTAACCCCAGCCCTCACCTTCTGGTGGGTAGAAATAACATCTAAGGCTGAGCACAATGACCTGCTGCTCTAGTGGGGGGAGTAAGAAGACTCATGAGACTGTGGAGCACCAGTCGTGGGGTCTGCTTTGTCAGATCAAAGGAACGAGTAGAGGCCAGGTAAGCTCTGGGGAAGCATCTGAGCCAGTAGGGGAGAGACCCTGGAGGGCCAGGCATGCTCCCTGAAGCACCTGAGCTGGGGATAGGGGGAACCCCACTCCGATAATGCAGGCAGGAGAGGAAGATCCCATCGACAGACTCGACTGGTCCATGCTAGGGCCAGGACCTAAGGGTCGAAGGGCCAGGGGCCCACCGCAAAGGATGCCCATAATGAGCAAGGGAGTTCGGGGTCCTGACTGGGCCTGAGGCGGGGCCAGGGTTTGTGTAAGCTGAAGGTCCCTATGGTTGGGGGCCATAGCTAATAGGGTGAAGGCAAGGGTCCAACCAACTGCTTGAGATGCCATCTGTGAGGCTTGGGCCGTGGTGTAGGGGTGGTACCAAGCTGCGGACACCCCCTTAATATCAGGGTGCAAAGAAAAATAGACAGCCTTCCTCCTTATTTAACAACTTATTTATTTTCAACAAGACGTGGCAGGAGAGACAGGTGGGCGGCATGCCCAGAGGCAAGTGGGAGGCCAGCGGCGGCTAACCTGAGTAAAACCCACTTCGCCACAGATGGTAATAATATCACTCAAAGCTGAATAAGAGTATTGATTTATAAAACAGGAGTAAAATAGTTTGGGGGGCAAAAAGGACTTGACTGACTTATACACTCTTAACAGCTAAAAAAATATGAAATCCCATACTGAAAGATGCATTAAAATTATTTAAGGTGTTTCAAATTCAAGTTCCATAAAAGTAATATATTAAACCTGGGATTACATCTATGCACCCTGAAGAGAGAAATCAATGCCAGAGGCTATACCACAGAAAGAACTTTAGAATCAACACATTGTGCATGCTGGGGAGAATTAAACTGAATTGGAAACCAGCCTTCTTCATGTCACTTTTGTGAGTTTGCAACATTGCCGAGATAAGATGCTCTACACAAGGGGCCCTGTGCTACCCAGCCTCAAATAGGTTGGCTATCCACGGGTGCCCAGGGACCATGGTAAGCTATCTGGGCAGGGCTGGGCCCAGGTGGCCACTGACCAGGCTCCCTGGCCCCGCTTGCTCCAGGGCAGGCCAGGCCAGGCTGCTGGCAACATCTGCTGCCACAGCTCCAGACTCCACCCCCTCCTCCCTGCAGGCCACCTGCTCTGATGCACTGATTCCCAGGCTTAGGGCACGTGGGGCTCCCAGACAACTGGAGTGAGGGGCTGACCACACCCCAGCCCTCCCTGCAGTGAGCCTCTCTGGGGAGGTGCCACAGGGCCAGCCCCACTTGCACTGCCACTGTGTGTCAAGCATGCCCCTGCTGCGTGTAACCCAGGCAGTGCGCGATGAGCTGTTTGTGCAGGCAGAGGGCTGCCTGAGCCACTATGCCCTGCTGATGATGATCCTGCTGGTACCCCGGGCACACCTGCACTCCTGGTTGGGGACCCTGAGCTACTACAATACAGGGGGCAAGCCAAGACCACCCTAAACCCTCCACCACTACCTGGAGGGCTATCTGTCGCAGCACTACACGTCCCTGCCCCCCACTGTCAAGGAGGACATTGCCACTGGTATCAACACCTTCCTTGGCATGTGAGTGGTCTGTGCCTGCCCAGCTTCAGGGACACAGGCTGCTCAATGAAGTTTAACTGTGTCCTGCCTCTCTGCAGGCTGTGCAGGGGCAGGAACCTGGGGCCTGAGGAATGCGGGCAGGCTGGGCAGGGAGTGTGGACAGAGTCTGGGGGCAGGGGCAGGGCCGGAGACTGAGAGGGCTCTCCTCCAGTGTAGAACTTACCATGTGGGCGGATCAGCACAGGCCTCCCCATCAGCAACAGCAGCTGGCTGCACCCAGTGTCCATGGCCTGTGGTAAACGGCAGGCCAGTGCCCAGCCAGGGGCCCACTCTGGGGAGCAGCTGGTACTGTTAGAAGCTGGTGGTGGTTTGGCTGGCTGCTCCTCATGGCAGGGTATGAGGCTGGGCCATGGGCAGTGCAGCTGCTGGGCAGAGATCCCCAAGCTGCCAGTGGATGCAGCAGCTGGGGAGGTGGGCAGGGTGTCACCATAGGTGTCAGGATGGGGTGAGGGCAGGCCACCCCTGCTGGTGGCACTAGCAGAGGTGTGGCCTGGCTCCTGGGGCATCAAAATGCGGGCCAGCTCCCACGTGAAGGGCATGGTATGGTCTTCTGGGCACAATTGGGCCAACAACTGAAGTTGGTCACAGCCACCCACTGTGCCCACAAGACCTTGGCCTTCATGTGGCACAGCCACAGCATCCGGGAGCGGACTTGTGCATGCATCCCAGCTGAAATAACCTCATAAATGTGGGTGTTAGAGTGCCCGCTCTGCACGAACTACCTCTGGACATTGGCCTTGCCCCAGTGTCACAAGGTCACACACCTCCTCCTGGGTCCAGCTGGGGCCTTGGGCAGTTGGGATGGGCATGAGTATGTGGGCAGGGCTAAGCTCAATGGGGATGATGTGGTGGACATGATCCCCACACCAGCTGTCTGGACCCCCACCTGTCTGTCCCTGCGATGTCGGCCCTGGAGGGCTGCCAGCAGCACCCAGGACAGGGTCACAGCCAGGAACAGGGAGCTGTGTGGCAGAGATGCTTCACCACAGTGCCTGCTGTCACAACCCAAAGTTGTGTTTTTTTTGTTTTTGTGTGCTTCGGCACTGCTAAATTATGTCCCCGCCAAATTGCAGCTCCTTTGCACGGTAGAGTTTTCTGCTGCAATAGAGAACCCGCGTGCAAAAACAGTATTTCCCGCCAGTTTGTAGCCTTCTTTGCATGGTGCATTTCTTTTGCATCATAGTGATGCACGGTGCAAAGGAGTTCCCGCCATTTGTATT